AATAAGTTTAGTTTTTAAAATTTACCGTCAAAATCGTTTGCAATTTGCGAACTTGCTTGCGAACTTGGTTCGGAATTTCATAACGAATTTCGATAATTTGATGCGAAACTTCCGAATTTGATTGGCCGGTTTCCAATCAACTTGATGATCCCGTGTTTATAGTTCCCAAATTCCCAACCAACCTCGCAATTGGCGCGGCCAAAGTTTCGTCACTTGTTAATATATGTTATTTATTGTAAAGTTTTAAAAAAGTTCCTCTATAGTGAATTTACATAAAGCCCCCGCTCAGATACCAGCAAGTTTCCCAAGTTTTGTTGCTCGTATGCACGGAATGTTGTTAAACATTTAGCCTATCTCACGTTAAGCAATAAAAGTTACCTTTTGTTTGCAAAAACAATAAAAGTAATTCTTGTACATGCACTTGTCAAGTGTTCCCTGGCGCCCATACACACGAACAAATTTTTCTTGTCCAAAAGCTGGCATGACTAACTTTGGAACAAGACTCCTTGGCCAGCAAAAATTGTCAATTTTTGGTCGCACGCACGCACGGGCAGATAAAACTTGCCAAGAAAAACTTGTAAAATCAAGCATGCAACTAAAATCCATGCAGAGATCAGAGTTTTAGCACGGAGTTGCCTGCAGAGTCAAAGAGGCTAAGTTTTAACATAAGTTAAATTCTTTTGGTTTTCATGGCGCTTGTGCCCACGGCATTGGGCAAATATTTGCTGTCGTAATCCAGATCAGTGGTCGTAATGTATAAAGTATCTCGGTTAAACGCCGCAGGGCTTTTTGGATATTTTAAATGCATATGACTGTGAGAGCGTTATACGCAGACAGAATGGTGCCGCCGAAAACGCACCAATGCAAACAAAGCATATTATTTTACACAAAAGAGAAGTTCCAATCGAAAATCGAGAAATTATGTGCGCATGCGTTGTCTTGTGAATTTGATGTCAAAGTCGATTCCAACATTTCAAGTATAGCCTTTCCCACGCCGCATTTTCGGGGTACTGCCTTTTCCAAATCTGTGAGATTGTACGCAGTGAATAAGAGAATTTATAATATAGTATTTGTAAATTCTGAGCGCTGATTGGCTAAGAGCCGTGTTGATATAACTCCATGTCAACACGGGAAATTTTCCGCCGCTTGTAAACACGGAAATTTTTCTTATTCTTCGGGCTTTTGACATTGCTATATTATAAAACAAATATAAAACATTTTTCCGTATTGATATATAGTTATATCAACACTCGTGGAAGTTGGGAAAACTCGAAATTGTGTGAAAACACTCCGCTCTTCGGGCGTCGTGTTTCCACACAATTTCTCGTTTTCCCAATTTCCACTCGTGTTGATATAACTGTATATCAACACGGAAAATGTTTTATATTTGTTAATTTATAACTATAATTGCGAGTATAATCATTTGAACAATTATATAAGTTAATTTACGGTTAAATATTTGAAAAAAATGTTTTCAGATCCCCTAATTAGGTTTTTCACGTCGTTTTAAAAAAAAAGTACCCCAAAAATGGTTAGAAACAAAGCAGTTCAAAGGTTTTCGACCTTGCGAGGATTTCACATATCCGATTTGAAAACGCCTTTTCAGTTTTCGTATCAGATGTGGGCCAATCTCACATATCGTGCATGCATATGGAATAATAATTTCACAAGTGAAACTAATTTGTACATAATTATGTACCTTTAGTAATTTTACATGTGAAGGATTCATAGATATCTCATAAGAAAGAATATGTGAAACTGAAATTTTATATAACGAAAATTCTAAATTTCGTACATGCATGAGATGTTCAAATTCCACATAAAATTTCACATGTGAAATGAGATGTGAATTGTCTATAAACATCGCCTTTATACCATCCCTCCCTCAATTTATTTTGCGGTCAAGTAGAATTGGTTTATTGGGATGCTCACAATTAAAAAAAAGCCAAGCGAAATATTTCGACGACGCAATATAATTTCTCCGTAACTGGAAACCCACCCTTATCGACATATGCAGTATTGACTGTTGCAGCATGTTGTTCGATGTTATCGTTTGATAAATTTAAGTACATGGTTGTAATGACTTTTTAATTGCATGTCGTGTCTCGTGTAACGAGTCATTAGTGTCGGCTATCTGCATGTAAAACAAGGAATGGGGAATCGCGCGCGGAACGGAATGAGGAACCAGAAAACCCGGAATGTGAAAAACCGAAATCTGTAAACTCCGGAGTTTTAACTAGTAAGGTATTCATTTATACTTACGTTTTCCAGACTCTTTCGTGGTGGTTTGGGTAAAGGCATCTTGTCCTCACCGGCAAGAACCTTGTCCTCACCGCCAGGATCCTTGTCCTCACCGCCAGGAACCTTGTCCTCACCGCCAGGAACCTTGTCCTTGTAGGCTTGATTTTAGATTTTGAGATTCGTTTGGGCCTACAGGGGGTTGATGGCTTTTATTTCAGGTTGCGTGAGGTAAAGAGTTAAAGACTATACACTATAGACTTTAATTCGAGATTGTACGGTTACAATAGTTCATCGATCGTGCGAGTTCGAACTAAATAGAAACAAATAAACTATACTAAGTATAAGCCTAAGTTTAACTATAAAATTAATATGTAGAGAATATATCGTGACAATAGGATCTGTTCAATACTTCGGTACAAATAATCAAGTTGAACAAGAAAATAAATCATAATCTATCTTACTTTGGTTTCCTCTCCTTCTTTTCGTTGATTTTGGCCAAATTTCAATTCCAAGTAAGGTTTTCTTTTCTACTTTAGATTTAGTGTTCTTTCTCTCAGATCTAATCGCTTTTCGTTTATGAGGGCTAATAGCGCGTATTATCTAGTATCGAATTTCAAACTAACATTCCGGCCCCTTAAAGGCGGAGTATACTAGAGCCTTTACCAAATAACAGAGAAATGTTTGAAACGTTAAGACATATATATTAACTATAGCTAAAATGTATATAAAGTTCTACTCAGCTCTGTGAGAGTTCTTCCTTTAGTCCTTCTTCTCTTCTGCTGCAGCTTCCAACAGCACGATCTTGTTGATTGGTCTTTCCAATGATGATGTGCTTGTTTTCACTTTAACGCTTCGCACTTTATTGTCCCTCGAGTTTCGGTACACTTCGATGATTCGGCCTGGAGGCCAGGAGCTGCGGGAGCAGTTTTCTTGGACAACCAAGACGATGTCGCCGACTTCGAAATTTCTTCGCTCTTTGTTCCACTTAACGCGTTGTTGTAGTGAAGGAAGGTATTCCTTGAGCCAACGGCGCCAGAACACATCGGCGAGGTATACTGGACTTGATGACATCTTTTTCTCGTGTATAGGTCTTCTTTCTCGAATCTACCGGGCGGGAGTGTCGACCCGGCTCGTAGCAGGAGAATGTGGTTTGGGTTTAATGCTTCGCAATCTCTTGAATCGTCCGATACCTTAGGGGCTTCGGTGGCCAAGTGGTTAGCACACTTGCCTTTCACCTCTGAGGCTGCATGTTCGAGTCTCACTAAGTACCTTCTCAATGCGACTCGAACCCAGTCCCCATGTGAAAAGAGTAAAAGTCAACGCTCTGCCGAAAGCCGTGGGTTTTCCCCGGGTACTCCGGTTTCCTCCCACAGGGAAAGTTGACAGGGTGGGTTAGGCGGTAAAAAAGGGCCCACAGTAATTGGCATATGCTGTTGTGGTGACCCTGCCCTAGTTGGCAAAGCTAAATAAATAAAATAAAATAAAATACCTTCGTGATGGGCTGGCCATTGATGATTGCTTCCACTTCACACATCAGTGTTAGCAAACCTTCGTCGTCTAGGACTTGTTCCTTCAGGAGGGCGTTCATCACCTTTCTTACCGTTCGTATGCAGCGTTCCCAAACGCCGCCATGATGGGATGCTGCTGGTGGGTTGAAGATCCATTTGATCTCTTTCTGTAGTAAAAATTCATTATTTTTTTGTTGGTTCCAATCTTTAATGCAGCGACGAAGTTCCTTTTCTCCACTGACAAAGTTTCCGCCATCATCGGATCGCATTTCTGCTGGAGTACCCCTTCTCGCTGAATCTTGTCATGGCGTTGATGAATGAGTCGGTGTCGAGGCTTGAAGCCACTTCTATGTGGATGGCGCGGATGGACAGACAAGTGAAAATGACGCCATACCTTTTCACTTGACTTCTTCCTCGTCGCACGTTGAACGGCCCAAAACAGTCTACACCGGTGAAGGTGAAGGGAGGTTGACAAGGTGTAACACGGCTTTCGGGTAGATCTGCCATTCTTTGCTCTCCAACTGGAGATTGTCTTCGTCTGCAGTCAAAACAATCATTCAAGCATTTACGAACGAGTGCTCTTGCCTTGACTATCCAATATTTCTGTCGTAATGTAGACAATACGTATTCAATTCCTGAATCACCTGATAGCTGGTGGTAATGTAGGACAATCAGCTTCGCCACATGATGTTTCTGGGGAAGGATTACAGGGTGCTTGGCATCGTTCTGGATAGGTGCGTGGTTTAACCGTCCTCCGACGCAAAGCAGACCGTTCACCATCGTTGGGTTCAATTTATAAATTGAGCTTGACTTCTTCGGATTCGACTTTGCTGTTCTGCTTGATTCACTGCTGGGATTGCTTGGTTTCTGTCTTTCGAGCAAGTTTATCTCGCTTTGGAAACGCTTACGTTGTGCTATTCCAAGGATCACGTTCTCTGCATGATTTAGTTCGTCCAAACTAATTGGGTTGGTCTCCTTTCTTTGGTCACCAGGTTGTGTCGTTTCGCCATTCTTGCGTCGCTTCTTGAAGACGGCGTTTGCAACGTATCAACCATGCGACAGCTTTCCTCAATCCCTTCCAAGTAGAGAACTTCTCGAAGCGCCGTGACATGGAGTTGATGCTGTCATTCTCGTCAGTAGCTGTAGACAAGGCGGTAGCTTCTCTCTTCAACTCGGGGTCATTATCCAAATTCTCAGGAATTGGTTGATGTTGGCTTCGCCATTGTTCGTCTGGTTGCCACAGAAACTCTGGGCCTCTCAACCATCTTTCGCTCGTTACAATTTCTTCAGCTGTCAGACCTCGTGAGAAATCGTCTGCAGGGTTTAGTTTGGTGTTAACATATCTCCATTGAGTTGGTTCGGATGCGTCGTGGATCTTCGAAATTCTATTTGCGACGATCAACGATCAACGACGAATTCTTCAAGCTTCGGTAGCATTGCGAGCCAACTCTGCCAGCGTTGTAAAGCCTCCTCGGGAATTTGGTCGTCCCAGCCTAGCTTGCTGCGACACAAATCTTGCAATAGGATTTTTGCCACCAAAATGAAGGGAGCCAGGAATTCTAGGGGGTCGTAGATGGAGCTGACTATGGATAATAGTCCCCTTCTCGTTGCTGGTCTTTCTTTGATGATGATCTTGTATCCAAACGTGTCAGAGGTAACATTCCAGCGGACTCCGAGGGCTCTCTCTATGGGTGAGTTGGATAAATCAAGCTTTTTCACTGATGCTGCTCTTTCTGTTTCTGGTAGAGACTTAAGGACTTTCTGGGAGTTGGATGTCCATTTGGTGAGTCGGAAACCACCTTTCGATAGGAGTTGACGAAGATCTTCTACGAGCGGAATGGCTATTTCATCGGATTTCAGGCAGTCATCAACATAAAAATCTCTTTGTAGGGTGGTAAATGCAAGAGGACTGAAATCGTCTTTGTTTTCTTCAGCAGTTTTCTTTAAAGCAAAGTTTGCACAACTCGCAGAGGAAATGTTACCAAAGAGATGCACCATCATTTGGTATTCTTCAGGAATGGCGGTTGTATCTCCATTCGGCCACCACAAAAATCTTAGGGAGTCGCAATCGTCCACCGGGGCTCGAACTTGGTGGAACATGGCTTCAACGTCGGCCATAAACGCGGTGGGACCCTGTCGGAATCTTGTTAGGACGCCTGTCAGGGAGTTGGTGAGATCCGGCCCCTGTAAGAGCTGGTCGTTTAAGGAGGTGCCTTGACATTTTGCGGAGCAGTCGAACACGACTCGGGTCTTATCAGGCTTTTGCGGGTGGAAAACCGGGTGGTGCGGTAAGTACCAGGTCTTTCTGCTGTTCTGTAGTCGTTCGGTTGGAACCTTTCTGGCATAACCCTTCTTTAAAAGATCGTTGATGAATTCGGAGTATTTTGTACTTAGAGATTCGTCTTTATCCAATCTTTTCTTTAAGAGTTCGAGTCGACGTTCTGCGATGAGTCTGTTATTTGTCATGTCTGGTGAAGCTTGCTTCCAGGGCAACGCGATTTCGTAATGCCCGTTCTCTAACTTGGCGGAGCTGTTCATGATCTTCAAGGCTTGTTGATCTTCTCGCGAGAAACTTGGTACGTTGCTTTTATTGATGTCGTTGAACTCTATGTTACAGTAGTTTCGGAACTGTTCGTCAAGACTGAAGTCTTCTTTGCTGATAAAGTTTGCTGTGCTTGGAATTGTACTGGATTTTCCAAGTTGGCCATCGATGACCTGTCTTTGTTGCATACTGCCGTCTTGACTGCTTCGAATTTCTTTCGGTTCCAGTACTTCGGGTGCATCACTGCCAATTAACAAACCAACCTCCGCGTCTATTTGATCTAACTGGATATTTGAGAGATGTGGCCACTGCCTGATGTCTTGTTGGGAGGCACGATTTCTTGTTGTCACGGGCAGTACTGGTGTGGAAAATACCGTTTTTAGGGAGACATGGTTTTCATCTTATGAGTCAGAAAGTTCCAGGCTTACGATAGAGCTTTCGGTCTTGCTGTTAGCTTTCCCCAGAGTTGTCAAGGTAAGGTTT